TTTAAAAGATTTTATTATTTTTAGAGAGGAAAGAAAGGAGAAAAGGAGAGAATTATCAATGTATGGTTGCCTCTCGTGAGTCCCCTGCTGGGAACTGGCCTGCAACCCAGGCATGTGCCCTGACTGGGAATTGAACTGCAATCGTGTGGTTTGCAGGCCCACGCTCAATAAAAACTGCATTTTTTATGTTACAGATTTTAATCTTGGAAATTCCTTTTCCTCCTTTATCTTGCTCATCATCATTTTCTTCAAAAATTACAAGACTCTCTTCAAGTTGCTTCCACCTATAAAGTTGTTTGCAGCTTAAGATCACACCTTGATTCATTGGTTGAATCAAGGTTGAAGTGTTGTGGGGAAAAAACATGCATTTTATTTGACCATCCTCACTAGTTAGTGATTCAGCAGAAGGGTGAACAGGAGAATTGTCTAGAAGTAACAAGGCTCTGACATCCTCTTCATGGAATCTTAGAACATTAAGTTGAAAATGCCTGACCTCAGGAACAAAATTTTGAAAGAACCATTCTGAAAACAATTCCCTTGTGAACCAAACATTTTTACTAGGTTTATCTATAACAGGTAATCTACTCATGTCCTCTTTCACACTTTTGGGCAACTTTGATTTTCCAATAATGATAGACTTTAACTTATGAGTTCCACCTGCATTTGCACATAAAAGAACAGATAACCGTTCTTTGTTTATTTTCCTTCCAGGGAGGTAGATATCTTTTCTACTTGCCTGAGTGTTTTCTGGCACTGATTTCCAAGAGGTCAGTCTCATCCCCACTGTATGTTGAGCTAGAAGCAGTTTCTCTTCTTTGATAAGCATGTAGTTTTTCTCGAAATGGCTCAATGTTTTCTGAAACTGAACTTATGACTTGTTGCACACATACTTCTCGGTTCCCAGTTGCATGCCTATTTCGAAATCTAAAGAGCCAACCAGTACTAGCTTTGAAGTTTGTTCATCCAAAACATTGTGCAAATCTCTCTGCAGCAGCTTGAAGCTCCACACCTCTAACAGGGACACCAGCTGAGCATTTCTGTTGTTACCACATGTAGACTGCATTGTCTACATCATCATACTTGGCTCCTGTTGTCCTCTTTCTCTTCTCAGCCCCGACTAATGGTATGTCTTGTTTCAGTACAAAGTCCAAAATCAGTTTTTTATTCTTTTTAATGTCATGTTGGTTTACTGATCCCAAATTCATCCATTACACTTTTAAGAGATCATCCAGCTTCAATCCTACTTAGAACCTTCATTTTCTCCTCCAAATTCAATGTTGTATATTTTCCTCTGTTATTCATACTGAATTTGGTTTCAAACAACCAACAGGAGAATAAAAAGAAAAAGATTTAATGAACTGGAAAAAATATTTTAAAGCAAAGCAAAAAACCCCAAATTAGCTCGATGCCCTATAAGGCACGGGCATTTGTACTGAAGGGTAATGAATTAAAAAGGATAAGGGCTTATGATTGAAGTGTTAGTCTAATGAGGTAAAAGTATTATGAATTCAGAAGGCTACCAACGCCAAAGTCCTCTCTAGCTGTTGCTCCTGTAAGACATGGATGATCAGTTTTCAGAATGCCCCTGCTCCTCTTCTCCCTTGACAGATATAGCAAAACCAGTCAGGGAGAACAGGAATGCCTACATACTCTTTAAGTCAACACAGGAAAAGATACAAAAGAACAAGAGGAGGCAGGATGTGCTCACATGAAGTGCTGACCCACATGAGATAAGTCTCAATAAAAAGTGGTGCTTGAGAAGATGAGAATGTGGAAGACTCAAAGGCAAAGAGAGTAATCTTGGGTAGCAGAAATGCAGCAAGGCCTTTCCTCTTCCAAAAGTACCTGATTTTAGCTCACTGCCAGAAAAGAAAATGGTGCTTCTATTGCTCTGTATGTAGTGTTCACTGGGCAGCAGTCCACCCACCCAGATAAAGATCCCAAAACTACCCTTACATTGGGATGTCTGGAGAGCTAGAACTCAGTAACAGCTGCATCTTTAAGTGAAGAAAGTTGGTAGCTTCTGCTGTCCATATGAATGAAGTCTAACTTTTAGTACATTCAATATAGCATTCGCAAAGACTGATATTTAAAAAGGTAATTTGTAAGTAGGTAAATAATTTGTTAGTGCCACTCTTAGGTCTTCATGGTGTGCATCTGGTGTATTCGCAAGTATTATTTTTCACTGAAACTGGTCCATATGTGGGTTATTAGCAAGCTTCAGAATCATGGCAATTCTTGGAGGTGAGTCTAACAGTTTTACAAATATTTTACCATAATTAAATTTCTAAAAATTAAAAAAATATATATCCTTTTGTTTTCCTAAATTTACATTAAGGTTTTAAATAACACATTTTTTATATTTGGCTTCTCCTCATTGTAGATTTTGTTTAATTTGAACCAAGCCTCCATTTTTTCCACTGCTTGACCAAATTTAAAATACTTCTCTGTGGTATTTCTGGTCAGTTATTTCCCATCGATCCTTCTGTTGGCAAAGTCTTCTGGAGCTTAGCTCCCTCAAATATTCCTTTCAGGTTCTGGTGCTGCCAAATTCCATTTACTTCTTAGAAATATCCTGCTCTAGATTAATTTCATGGTTCTCATTCCAGATATAGAAACTCATGGGAAGTAATAAAAAATGCCACTTTTTTCCATTCCAGGTGCTGTAAAGAAAAAAAAAGTATGTCAGAGAAATGAGAAAAATGCTTGGTATTTCAGTTATTTTTCCTCTCCTTTAGGGAAGATCCTGACTGGCTTCCAGTCATTCCTCAACCACATAGGATTCTCACAAGCCTCTTATCTAGGAGCCCAGAAGAGTCTACACTGTTAGTTTTCCTGTAACATTTGTTGCAAGAAGTGCCAACTAAGAAGATCATGAAAGGATATCATAGTTAATACAGTGTGGAAGTAGTGACATGCTAAAATCAAGCAACCCTGTAAAAGAGGCAGCTATAATTAAAACAATACTAAATAATAACTATTTCAAATGGAAAAGAGAAAAAAGTTTGTCAGCCAATAAATAGCACCATTAACTCCAGCAAAAACATTCAGCCTACTATGGCAGTTGTGTGGTGTCTCAGAATAAATTCCATGTATTTGCTTTCATTGCTTCCCACCTGTGCATTCATCATTTCTGAAACCATGTCAGGCAGGACAAGGTGAAGTCAAAAGAAAAGACTCAGAGAACTTTTATGGGCTCCGCAGCAAGAGTATGCAACTATGGTATTAAACTTCAACCGATGAAAATCATCAGTGGCCCTCATTCACTGTTCACCATTTTGTGCCTTGCTTCTTCACTTTCACAGGGTCTCTTCTCCCACTTTCTTCTCCTCATCTTCCCTGACCAACTCCCTACCCATACTATGAATCAGGACTGCCAATGATATCCAGAGTCACTGCTAGCAGAACTTCATTTATTTATTCAATAAGGTCCAATCATATGCCCAGCTTTGGGCCCACTGATGAGGATCTGAATACTAAGAGCATCACTGTCCACTGGTTCTGAGAGACTGGAAACAATAATGGCTTTTGAGGAAACAACATCCGAACCTGACAGATTCTAAGGAAATCAACCTGCTTTGAAACATGACTCAGGCAGATGTTTATAATTATCACTTCTATTTAATCCTTTTCTCCCATTCAAAAAGAATCAAGATATATCTCTCAGAGGATTATGACATGATTCCACCTAAGAGCAAAAATAGCATAAAGGCTCGGTTAATGGACTCTCATTTTCATTCCCATCTACATACCTCCAGATGAACTGTCCTGGAAGAAAGCTCCCTCAAAAACCTTCAAATGATGTTCAGATATATACAATGTGTTCTCTTCACTCCCATTCAAAGCACATAAATCTACATGAACTTACTTTCTAACTTTCTTTCCCTAAATGTAGGCTAATTACATTTAGAAAAAACTAATGATATCACACTCTAATCCTTCCAGCTTTTCAAGGCTATGCTTTTACCTTATCCCAGTGATTTTCAACCTTTTTCATAGCATGGCACACGTAAAGTAATTATGAAAATTCTGCAGCACACCAAGAAGTGTATTATATCTTTGCCAATCTGACCAAAAATTATATATATAATTTTGATTCGTTCTTACAGGCTATTGTTTTGGCTCTCATTTTTAAAAAATTTAATAATTGTTCAAGTAGTTTTCTGTCTTTTACTCCCATCCCAGCCCCCCCCCCCCCCCAGTGCTTCCCACCTCCCTCCCATTTCCACCCCCCTTAGTTGTTGTCCATGTGTCCTTTATACTAGTTCCTTGGCTCTCATTTTTTTTAATTTGACAATCAAAGGGAGAGGTCAGTGACCCTAAATAGTCACGAATCGCATGTTTTAAAAATTCTTGCAGCACACTGGTTGAAAATCGCTGCCTTAGCCTCTTGCCTTCTTACATCTGCAGACAAAGCCCTCAAGATCTTTTATGATTTTACTCAACCAAAAATCAACTTCCATTCTTAGGAATTTCTGCAGCGTTCAGCTTATGATCTCCCTTTTCCTTTAAATATGATTCAGTAAATGTATGTGGAATGCCCATCTTACTCAGGTAATTTGGGCAGACACTGCAGGAAATACGAGATGAGAAGAAAGTTCTACAGGAACCATGTAGTGAAAAAGGGCAGCAGGGCACCTAAATTCCAGGCTACGGGCTTCAATGGTTATGTGACACTGGCAAGTCACTTCTTAGCTCTCAATTTCTCTGTCATTAAGAACTATAAATGTAACCTATTTCATATACCTCACAAGAAAAAACAATTATTAGAGATCCACTGCCCAAAACAGGGTACAGAACCCTCAGGGCCCTTGATTCTGTCAGAACAAGGCAGCGGTAAACCTCAGGACGACAGGTAGGGCTCCGCGGGCTGTGTCAGTAGGGCCAAAAATCTTGCGGGCGCAGGGGCGTCGACCCTTACCCAGCGGAACTCCGCATTAGCGGGCCGCGGGACGTCCGAAGGCGACTCAGGAACTACTGAGACGTGTAACGCCTCACAGAACCACGCCGCAGGATGGCGAAATCCACAGACAGAACCGTACGCCGAGCCTTCTATGCTTTGCGGCAGGAGACTGGCATTAACTCTTCTAGGCACCAGGGCGAATCCGGCAGGAAGCTGGTTCCTTCCGCTGAGCTAGAAGCTGCAGCACTTTCAAACACAGTTGGGGAGCAGAGCCACCCGGAAGTGCTCTACTTCCGCTTCCTGTGGGATCGCGAGTTTTAAACCACAGCTTAGAAAAGGCCCCAGGGGGCCGAGGCGCCCAGGGGGAATCTGCGGCCTGCGCACTAGAACACGCGAGTTTCTGCTCTGTGGGCCTCTTATGAACGTTGAGAAGTAGAGAGCTGCGGCTTTTGAGTGGCGGCCGGAAGTGGGGCGACTTGCTGTTGAGCGGGGGGAAGAGGGAGCAGCGTCCTTGAAGCCCAGCTGTCTGAGGTAACCAAGAATCAATTCCCTTTCGGCGACTCCGAGTCTTTTCTTTTTCGGCGTAGGATGCGGATACCCGGAGAGCTGTCGGCCGCTGCTCTGGGCCGTTGCAAGGTGGTTGGAGGCGAGACGGCCATATCTCGTGGCTGAGCTGCCGGACCCTGCAGCAGACTGTCTTGGGCGAGGGCGGCTGTCAGGCCCCGGACGCCACTCCTTTTGCCTTTTGCTCTGATAGGTCCAGGCCCGCGGCGGGGGCACGCTCTTACACTCTCCGCTTGCACAGTGCTCATGAAGCACAATTGTCCTCCAGAAATGTTCGGGTTCCCGCCTCTGCTGGTGTGTGTTTTTGTTTTTTTTCCCGGGCTGTTGTTAACCTCCAGAGAACCGCAGTTCAGCGTCAGGTGCAAAAGGCCCCGTGGCCTCCTGAGCCAGGGTGGGCAGCAAGGAGCCAGCCATTTGTGAATAACGTGGCATCCTGGACAGAATCTCGGTGCCGGTTCTGCTGCATCACCTAGAGGAGAGCGAGGCTCAGCCTCCCTTAAGTCTAAAAGACCCTTGAAACGTAAAGTCAGCAGAAGGGTCACCCTAATCATCACCAACTGCCATTCTCCCCCTTTTTTATGACTTGATATTTGGACAAATATTTTGTAAAGAAAAGTCGGCTGTAATTTTTCCTGGTTCAAGTAAACAGAAATTTAAAAATACAGGTATAAATCTTCTAAATAGTTCTTTTTATACGTCTTGCAAAGAAGTACCAAAGAAGAATTTGAGCATCTAGTTACTTAATTGTGGGATGCTTTCTGAGAAGAAAAAGGCTATTTTTTTCTTTAATTGCTTTCCTTCTACCCTGTTCTCAGTGTCCCAGCTCTCATTCAAGTATTCATACAAGAAAAGGAGAGTCTCAAATGTTCCATGAATTGAAGGCTTCCATCATTACAAGAGGATTAAAAGTCATGGAAGTTGTACCCTTATTAAAAGCAAAATATTAGGGTGATATTTTAAAATTTAAGAGAAACTTAGAATGTTTTCTTAATCTTCTTTGACATGGGGAAGATGCAATAGAAAGCACATGTATGAACTCTTTGGATAATCCCCCTCTTTGGAGCCAGTGGGTGCCAATTCCCTCACCCACCAACCTTCCCTGATTCGTAGAAGCAGTCATTACTTGACATTTGTCTTCAATGATCTGTGTTATAGATCAAACGAATAATAAAAAGAAAAGTAGAGAAACAAAGGGCCTGACAATTGACTTTAAACACAAGGCAAGGGAGTATGTTTTTTCTTCATTTTCTCATAATGAGTAGCAAGTAGTAAAGTTCATGTGACGTTCTTACTGACCTGCACTTTTTTCCTGCCCTCAGTGCCTTAGGAAGAAGATCCTTTTATTCATTTTATTCCAGACCACACTGAGCCTCAGTTGTCAAAGGTGGGCCCAACATAGGAACAACTGTTCTGGGCAGAATGATGACAGTAGATCTGAAGGTGACTGAGTATTTGAACTCTCACATCAGGGCTCTGTGGGAGACCAAGGGGCCTGTAACAGAGGGCTCCACTCAGAATAAGAAGTATACCACACAAATGGACAGTCTCAGTCCCGAGAGCTCTCGCCAACACTTCCGGAGTTTCCACTATCATGAAGCAGCAGGACCCCGTGTGGCTGTTGGTCAACTTCAGGAATTATGCCGTCAGTGGCTAAGGCCAGACATACACTCAAAAGAACAAATCTTGGATCTGCTGGTGCTAGAGCAGTTCCTGACCATTCTGCCCAGGGACACCCAGACCCGGATAAAGAAGCACCACCTACAGAGCACTGAGGAAGCTGTGGCCTTGGTAGACCACTTGCAAAATGAATCTGGTCAAACAAGGAATGGGGTGAGAAGAATGATTCCTGCTATATACAATGAAATAGGATGAAGGTGGATATATGGGGGTTGGGGGAAGTTAATTGAGAAATAAGGTGAATTAGAGTAATGATCTGTTGTTGCTTTAGGCCATCTAAGGCAGGACCTGAAACCACAGACCCTCAGCCATAGTCATTCCACAAGTTTTGGAGATTCTGAAAAAGACTTCCCTGGTCTTAGAGAGTTGCATTTTTCTATCATTGAAGCCAGAATATATTGAGAGTAATAAGCCTAGTCTGGCTTGGCCTAGGAGATGAGTGTGTGTGGGGGGGTTTGTTGTTTTTGTTTTTTATGATTTTAATGCAATTAACAACGATGTTTTTCTCTTAGGAGATGGGTCTTAAGTTCAAAGAAACAAAGGGTAACGGAGTTGGAGAGGAAGGGGCAGACCTAAAAAAGGGAGAACATGTAGAGACAAAAAGAGAGAAGATAGTAAAGAGAAAGAGAAACCAAAAAACTAGGTAATACAACAAAGGAAGAAAGAGGAGGACAAAAAAAAGGGGGAAACGAAGATTTGGAAATCCCAAGAGTGGCTGAAAGAAGAAAGACACTGAGAAATAGTGTCCTTTGTACCATAGACAAGAGCCTTCACCTGCCCTCCCTTAGTGGTTGTTCCTTGCCTCTGGTGGTAAGTGGGGGTCCAGGTTATGCCCTTGGACGGGTGGCAGTACAGCAATTAGTTGCAGGCCTACCATAAAGAATACAGAACAGGGCATATGTTTGGTGTCAAAATTATGTGGAGGGAGGTTAGAGCCAGAATTATTCCTGCCCCTTCTCCATTTCATCCCTTCTCTGTGGAAATCTTTCCTGGCCATAGGAAAAATCTGGTTAACAAAGTAACTTTTTAAATTCAATTTCTCAATCTTCTGAGAAAACTAGATGGTAGGAAACCACTAAGGTAGGGTTTTAGGCAAGAAAGAAAGGCTGTCAAGGCAACATGAGACCAGGCACCCTGTACCACCCTGCTAGTGGTCACAGCCAAGCTGTAAGCAGATGGGTGGGGGCTGCTGTGTTGAAGGGCTGGCAGTATCTACATCTTTTTTTCTTTTATCCTAAATTTCCCAGATTTTGTGGATGGTTCTTTGTGGAAAATTGGTGGCCTATTATCTCTTTAAGTCTCTATCATTTCCTTTAGTGTCTCACACTTCCTGTAATCTGGACTCTTACGTTTTTCCTCCTACTGCCACAAGCCCCCAAGCCTAAAGTAAGTTCTGGTAACAAGGTTGGGAATTATTTCTAGGTTGCAGTCCATGTGCTGGGAAAGGAGGCAGTACTCCTGGGAGAAACAGCAGAGACCTCAGGCTTCGAAGTGAAGCCAGCAGAGGCCCAGCCAGCAGGCAGGTCCCAGGATGAAGAAATTTGGAGTGCATATCAGGATCTACAACAGCTGAGCAGGAGTACTCATAAAGAAACTGAGCCTGTGTGTGAGAGGGGTAAGGAGCTGCATGATAGTTTCTTCTGGGAGCTGTGATAGTAATTTGTTCAGCCAGAACACTATGACCATTTTGGGGGTACCCAGCTCTGTGGATATGCAAGTACAGCTGTGGTAGCAGTTATGATCCTCCTCTCCTCCCTTCCCTGACACATACAGATGGCCTTAGAATAGACCAGTTGTAGGTGAAGGTGGGAGTTGGCCTAAAGTACAGAAATATCCAAACCATAGAACCATGGTAATTACACCATGAACTCTGGTCCTTAGAAAAGTGGAAAGGGTTTGGGTTACCCCATCCTCAAAACACACAAGGAATCAGGATCACAAATGGGCTGTCAGTGGTATGTGAACACAATGTGTACTAGGGGAAAAAGTGATAATACATCTGTTGCTAACTTTGCTCGTGAAAACTAGGAAACTTTTTCTGGGAGAAGATAGATACTTGGATCTTATTAACAATGATAAGGCCATTTATGGGCCCCATACACACTTGTAAACGTTTCCCATTTACTGAAAGAACCAAGATCTGTATTTTAGAAATGAGCTCAGAATATGCACAGAAGCAAGAGAAATTTCCGATGGCTCTTTTCCACCCACAGCTGTACCTGCTCATCAAATCCTAGATTTTCCTGAGCAGTTAAAGAACAAACATTGGACAGTGGCACCTGAGCTCATCTTACCTGAGGCCCAGGTGAGCTATGCTTTCAAGCTGTTTAGGGCTGCCTTTGCCTGCTGCCCATGACCCACACTGCCCATCAGGTGGTCACAGGCATGTTAGTCTAGATGTTCTCCCTGGGGAACTGGACACCTCCCAGGCTGTTGGCTCATTTCTCTCTTGCCTCCTTCCTTTTCTGCCTTTTCACTTTAAAAAGGCATGTGCTATTCATTCCTCATTGTATAGCCTACAATGCAGTTCATGGGCCTGATATTAAGGCTGCTTCTGTGTTGCAGGTACTGAAGCCCATTTTCTTTTCTAGAGCTTATTGACATTTGAAGAAGTGGCTGTATATTTTTCACGGGAAGAATGGGAGTTACTGGATCTCAGTCAGAAGGCTCTCTACAGTGATGTAATGCAGGAAAACTATGAAACTGTCATCTCTCTAGGTAAAGATTCTCCCTTCGCTATGCTTACAAGTTGAGTAGTCTGTAATGTTATTAGCTTACTGGGAATGCACTCTGTGGGAAAGTCTGTTCCAGTAGCTAGTTGGTTCTCAACTCAATGGTGTGGGTAGGGAAAAGATATATCCAGATTACCTGGAGCTTTTATGAAGTTCATACACTCATTCCTTATCATATATATATATATATTTAGTTTTTTAAAATTATTATTTATTTATTTATCTTTAGAGGGGAAGGGAAGGAGAGAGGGAGAGAAACATCAACGTGTGGTTGCCTCTCATGTGTCTCCTGCTGGGAACTGGCCTGTAACCTAGGCATGTGCCCTGACTGGGAATTGAACCTCGATCCTCTGGTTCGCAGGCCTGCTCTCAGTCCACTGAGCCACACCAGCCAGGGCTAGCGTACATTTCTTGATCTCTCCTTGCACTCTCCCCTACAAATCTTCTCTTATAATTGTCTTTCCAATTCCATAAATGGTACCACCATTTACCCAATACTTCTGGCAAAAACCTGGGTCTTCCTTTAATTTTATCTTGCCATTATATCCCACTACTAATGCATCAGTGGTCCTCTTGGCTCCACCTTAACATCATAGCCTGAGTCCAACCATGTCTTACTCTCTTGCCCTGTTAGCAGTCTGTCCTAAGCCAGTGGCTTCTCTAACCAGCTTTGCAACTGATGCCCCAGCTACCATTCTTGCCCTCCAACAGTCTATTTCCTATGAAGCAGTTAGAGTCTTTTAAAAATCTGTTGAGATAATGACATTTCTTTGCTTCAAAATCTTACAATAACTTTTCATACATTCAGAATAAAATCTAAACTTCTTATGAGGTGTGTAGGCCCCTCCAAGATCTGGTCCCTACTCATCTCCCTGCCATTCATGCCCTGACTCCATCCTCTTTAGCCACACTGGTCTTCTTGCTGTCTCTTAAACTTTCCATGCTTATTTTTACCTTCTCATTTTCTTTACCTGGCATACTGGACTCTCTGAGTACTGCATTTTCAGATACCTCTAATTTTTGACCCCCTCAGAATAATTTTTGTAATAGAAGAAAAATAATAAGATTTCCTTTTATTGACTTAAGTCATGAAAACTGAGGACAGTCAGTGTGGAAACCAATTGTAAGAACCGATAGCCACTTCTAGGTACCACATAACACTTGTAAAGGAGTACTCTACTGAAAGAAACGGGATCTTGTATATTTTAGAAATGTGCATAGAATGTTCATAAATGCAAGAGAAATTTCCGATGGCTCTTTTCCACCCACAGCTATGCCTGCTCACCAGTGTCTAACCTTTCCTGAGCAGACAAACACCAAAGATTGGACAGTGGCGTCTGAGCTCTTCTTGCCTGAGTCCCAGGTGAGCTGTGCTTTCCCGCTGTTTAGGGCTACATTTCCCTGCTGCCCATGACCGACATTGCCCAGCAGGTACTAGCCTCGATGTTCTCTCTGGGGAACTGGACACCTCCCAGGCTGTTTACTGATCCCTTGCTTCCTTTCCTTCTGTCTTCTTACTTTTAAAAAATCATGTGCTATTAATTCCTCAATGCCTGGCCTACTATTCAGTTCATGGGCCAAACGTTACAGCTGCTTTTGGAGTAGTAAGTACTGAGCTGAAGCCCATTCTTTTCTTTAGACCTTATTGACACTTGAAGAAGTGGCCTTGTATTTTTCACGGGAAGAATGGGAGTTACTGGATCCCGGTCAGAAGGCCCTATACAATGACGTAATGCATGAAAACTATGAAACTGTCATCTCTCTAGGTAAAGATTCTCCCCTTTTCTTTGTATAGAAGTTGAGTAATCAATCATGTTCTTTACTTATTGTGAATACTCACCTGTGAAAGAATCTGTTCCAGTAGCTGGTTAGTTCCCAACTTGATGGTGTTTGCAAAAGAAAGGTGTACCCAGGTCACCTGGGAGGTTTTTCAAGTACACATTTCTTATCCTACCTAGAATTCTGGTTCTCTTTCCTTTCTTTTCTCCAAACCTTCTCTTCTCATATCTTTCTCATGTCAGTAAAGATCAGTTCTATTCACTCAGTTGCTCAGAGCAAGAAGCATAGTCATTCTTTCTCATTATTTTGTCATCATACCCTACTACTAATGCATTACTATTCTCTTGGCTCCACCTTTGCTCCATCTTCACAGTGTAGCCTGAGTCCATCTATGTCTCGTCTTCTTGACTTAGTAGCATTTGGTCTAAGCCAGTAGTATCTCAAACCAGGTCTGCCTTAGTAGCTTTTTAACTGGCTCCTTCTCCCTACACTCTTGCCCTCCCACAGGATCTGTTTTCTATGCAGCAGCCAGTCTGTTAAAACCTGATCAAATTATGACATTTTTCTGGTTCAAAACCTTATGATGACTTCTCACCACATTGAGAATAAAATACAGACTTTTCCTTACCAAGGTTCTCAAGACATTCAAGTCTCCTCCCCTTTCTGTCTTCATCTACCACTGTGCCCTTGTTTGGTTATCTTTAGCCACGCTGGTCTTCTTGCTGGGTTTTATTTATTTATTTGATTTTTAGAGAGAGAGGAAGCAGGGGTGAGGGGAGAGAGAAACATCAATTTCTTGTTCCACTTATTTGTGCATTCATTTGTTGACTATATGCTGTGACTGGAGACTGAACCCACAATGTTGGTGTATCAGAACGATTCCCTAAGCAACTGAGCTACCTAGTATCTGGCCAGAGCTTATTTTTTTGAACTTGCCATGCTCATTTCTACTTTCTCCTTTCCTCTACCTGGTGTGCTATTCTGCTATATGGCAAAACTTGCACTTTTAGATCTCAAATATTATTTTCTCAAAGAGGCCTTCCACATAGCCATATCTCAAATAGCTTCACAGAAGCAAAATCTGAAATGCTCTTTTACCCTGCTTTAGTTTCTTTTAAAACATTTGTCACTAAATGATACTGATATGTTTTATCCAACTGCATATGAACCACTGAGCTATAAGAATGGTAGAAATTTTTCCTGTTTCAGTTTCTGGTGCTCAAGAGCAAAATACTAAGTATAATTATGACACTTATGCATATGATACCCAACCCACTGACCTTCACATTGACTCTGCTAGACCTGGTCTTATTCAAGGTGAGTCCTAAAGAGTTAACAAGACCAGCCTGTATTCCCTGCAACCTCTGGAGTTTTATTTCAACTTGGTCAAGTGTGGGGTTATTTATTGGTAGTAGAAGAGGAATAACATGGACAAGATTGCCATGACCTATGTCCTTTTCATTGATCAAGCTAGGTTTATTTGTCACTTTCCACTTTGCATATCCATCCAAAAATGCAGTGTAGTATAACTGATACCTGATATGAATGTCTAATTATTTAACCATTTAGCCATAACAAATCGTAAGTGTTCTTTACTCTTACGAAAATAGTTTGGAATTAGTGAATCATTGTTAAGGTACCAGGTTGTCTTCTTTTTTTTTTTAAGATTTATTTATTTTTTTAGAGAGAAGGGAAGGAGACAGACAGGGAGAGAAATATCAGTGTATGGTTGCCTCTCACATACCCCCTACTGGGGACCTGGCCTGCAACCCAGGCATGTACTCTGACTGGGAATCAAACTGGCAACCCTTTGGTGTGCTGGCTGGCACTTAATTCACTGAGCCACACCAGCCAGGGCCCAGATTGTCTTTTTTTAAGATTTTATTTATTTTTTTAGAGAGAGTCTAGGGGAGGGAGAAAGAAAGGGAGAGAAATACCAATAAGAAAAAAAAATTGTTCTGTTGCCTCTCATATGTGCTCCTTCTGGGGCCTGAACCCTCTACCCAGGTACGTGCCCAGAGTGGGAATTGAACTAGCACTTTTGGTTTGCTGGATGATGCCCAACCATCTGAGCCACAGTCAGGACAAGGTACCAGTTTTTGACCTCATTTTTTCCATTCACAGCCTTATTTGTGCTCCCCAAACCTAAAGTGATCTCCTGTCTAGAACAAGGGAAAGAGCCATGGGTCCAAGGATCCACGGAGTTCATGGACAGTCCTGGAGAGCTGCCTATAGGTAAATATACCATGGAAGAGAAGAAATATGCCTTAATAAGAACCTTTGTGAGGACTTAACATTTTTTAGAGAAATGTTTTTTAGATTTTTATTTATTGACTTTAGAGGGGAAGAGGTAGGGGGAGTAAGATAGAAACAGATTTGTTGATCCACCTATTTGTGCATTTATTGGTTGATTCCTTTATGCGCCCTGACCAGGGGTCCAACTCGCAACCCTGGGGTATCAGGATGACGCTCTGACCAACAGAGCTACTTGGCCAGAGTCAAAAATTTAGCTTCTTTTAAGATTCTACTTACCCGTTTTTAAAAAATTAGTGATCTTTGATTTTTTTGTCTCTATTGCTGTGGTTTTCTTGCTCTACTACTCAGTTGGCTCATTGTCATATTAATTCCAACAGGGTTAAAGCTCAAAAATGACACTGAAAGTCATCAGCCTATATCTCTTTCTGGCTTAGAAATAGAAGCACCCAGAGACATAATATCAAAAAAGACCAGAGTGAAAGTTCCCCAGAAAACAACAGTCAAAGAAAATCATGGTGAAATGCACAGAGTGGGCAAATGGCATCAAGATTTAACAGTAAAGAAAAAAAAGAAGCTTTCAACCTGGAAACAAGAGCTGCTGAAACTTATGGATCGTCACAAGAAAGAACGTGCAGCAGAGAAGCCTTTTAAATGTCAGGAATGTGGGAAAAGCTTCAGAGTTAGCTCTGACCTTATTAAGCACCAAAGAATTCACACTGAAGAGAAACCGTATAAATGCCCACAGTGTGATAAGAGGTTTAGGTGGAGTTCAGATCGTAATAAGCACTTAACAACACACCAAGGAATAAAGCCATATAAATGCTCATGGTGTGGGAAAAGCTTCAGTCAAAATACAAATCTCCACACACACCAAAGAACTCACACTGGAGAGAAGCCCTTTACATGTCATGAATGTGGAAAAAAATTTAGTCAGAATTCTCATCTTATTAAACATCGGAGAACCCACACAGGTGAGCAGCCTTATTCCTGTAATATATGCAGAAGAAACTTCAGCAGGCGGTCAAGCCTTCTTAGGCACCAGAAACTCCACCAGTGAAGGGGGAAGCTTGTCCAGTGTCATCAGTCTGAACAAATTCACCAAGTGGAGTTTGATGCTAAAGTTTGTGGAAAAATACAAAATTATGAAGCATGAATTTTTTATCAGTGGAATATTTGGGGCGACCAGCATCATGTTGCACAGAAAGGAATCAAATTTGACTCTGTAGGGGATGCATTAAACTGCTTAATGCATACTGTACCACTTACTGTTTTTACTTATAATCTATAGAGAATTCCTTAGCAAGGTTAATGTTCTAGGAACATTCTGAAAATGGAAAAAGCTGTTTTGGGATTGTACCTGCTAAAATATCAAATTCAGCTTCGAGTAGCAGATGAAGCCATGAATCAATCTTCTGTGGTCACAGAGGTAAACAGTGTTGGTTTTGCATTGATCTTCCCAGCCACTCTTATTTAAACACATGCAACAGAAACATTTGTAGCATCATCTTCCAAAACAAAAAGCAGTACTATGCTCACTTAATTGCATACCATTGTCTCTAAGATACAAGATTAACAATTTCAATAGTCTCATGGGAAAGAAATGAATTCTGATGTAAAGTTTTTTAAGAACCAAATTGTATTTTCCTCCCGTCTTGTCACCTGCCATTGTGTAAGTTTTTCCTTGAAATTTTTAGCAACTTTAGCTCTTAAGTCATATTAGCATAAATTTTACTTTAATGAAAAATCATGTTTACTTCACCACTAGAAAATCTGCCTGATAACTAATAATGCACTATCTTTCCCCTCATTGGTGTCTTTTTGGAAAAAAGGAAAACATTTTTAATGAGATTATATGGAAACATGTTGGAATTTTTAGCCATGGAATAATATATGTAAAGAAGAATTTTCTGCAATAAAAGAAATTCTTTTCCTTTTCTCACAATATCAATAGGATAAAATAGCCATAAAAATTAGCACTTTCCTGAGGCCTAAAAGAAATTTAATGGGAGTCTAGGTTTAACTTCTCAGGATTTTGTTTGTTTTTTCATTTGGCTTTTGTTATTAAGAATCAGGAGAGATTTATGTATCTGTGAAGTGGAGTGTGTGCTGCAGACAGCATTCTGTGGTTTGCTGTGTATGGTGACCAGGGAATCCATTTAGCAGGAGACCAGGCTTCCAAAAGGACAGTTTTGGGAACTGATGCAGAGTGGTTGGCAAAAATGAGTCAGTCCACATCTATCTATATGGGTTGTCTTACACTGTAAACTATTAGTCAAGGTCTTCCTGTATTCTCTTCAGAGCAGCATTTAGTTAGTAGTCTTGGGTGATGTTCGATACATTGCTGAAAACCTATAGACTGGATATTCTTATAACTCACCCTTTATTTCTACCTCTGACTTAGATGTGTTCTTCTTGGAGCTTTCAGGGGTTAAATTATCTCTTCCAAATCTATTTTATAAATGGGGAAGTTAAAGCACAAACTTCTGTTAGCTGTCACTTAGTTTCATCAGTGAGGCCTGAAGGCAGGATTACCAGGACTTTGTTACTTCTACAGAGCCAGTCTAGATGACATTGTATTGTATCTATTTCTAGCTTGGGAAACATTTCTGTTTCTTGATTGGATACTGAAACACTCTCAAGTCTTTATTTTCTCTATGAAATAGTGAAAACACTCACCTCAGGGTCATCTGGGGATTACAGGGATTGAGGAAAGAGAAGCACCTACCAGCCTTACCAGCAGTAGATGTTCAATGTGCGTTTCTTTCTCTTTCCCCTGCTCCCCAAATATGTTTAGCAGACTGACCACATTAAAGGATCAGATGCATTTGTGGTTTTCGCAGCTCCTTTTAGGAGCTAAGCATTGGTTACACTGATTTGGTTTGTGGCTTCAGTATTTTTTGGTGTTAAGTCACTTGAACTTTGGTTTGGCGCCTTCAGTGATAGTTTTCTTCTACAAGGTGAACTACACCAAATATTTCTTAAGCATGCCAACACTGAAGCTTTGGTCTGAGTATCTTACCCAACACTCTTAGCCTTAGACCCCTGGGATTCTGTCTTTCTTCCCAATAAGGTACATGTGGATTTCTTGTTGGCAGTACATTGATTCATTCATTTAATTTAACGGTGGCCTTTTGTGCATCCAGGCAATGTTATAGACTAAGGATATAGGCGTGAACAAAAGAACAAATTCATACCCTCATGGAGCTTATATTCTAGTGAACAATAAAAAGGAGAATGGTTATGCTTTTCTCCTCCTTGCACTTAAGACAGGGCCGTCAGCCATTTTGGTCAGTGGGTTGTGAATAGAATCCTCACTTATGGGCTGAAACTGGTGCTCTCCTTTCTTGCTCCAATCATGGAAGCACATACAGAGACAGGAACCATGAGATGAAACTAGACTAGAATGCTGAGTTCTTCACATGGCAGGTCAGCTCTTCTTGTTAGCCTGCTAGGCCTATAAGGGACATTTGGACTGTGTGGGAGCAAGAAATAAACTTTTGTGTTTAACCACTGGGATATTGTGTGCTGTGTGTTTCTGGCCTGTTTTAATAGAGGTGGCTCTTCTAGAGCTCTGCAACTTTGTTTTTTTCATTCCACTTGACCTTTGGCCCTCAGGAGAGATCTAGCTTCCTCTAGATGCTCCCCTGAATGGAAGTGACATTGATGGGAACACTTAGGAGCTTACAAGACTGTAGGTGAGAAGAAAAATAAAGTAAATAAAAAAGAAGATTGCCAGTGATATTAAAGAAAGACTCATTGCTTACCAGGGAACATATCTTGGGGAGGTTAGTTATTCAAGCAGACAAGGCAGCCTTACTCCATGGCCTTATTACTCTGTCCTTTTCTTTGTGTTCTTGTGCACTGCTGCCCATGTGCACAAGATGTGTTTCTGTTGATCAGTGGGCTAGGCAGAGGGTAGGAGTTGCTTTTCATTCCTCATGTGAATACAATAGATTTCAAGGAATGGTTTGGTAACTAACCCTATGAAACCTGTGATTTATGCCTCAAAAACTAGGACATACAGCAAATTGTACACCCATATTGGTGTATAAAGGAAGTTGTCTTACACTTCCTAAACTAAGGGATGACAGTTGAGAAAAAGCTTGAGTAGAAAAGCAGGAGTAGGACACCTCAGCTAGGGAGTAAGAACCCTCCAGTGGGTATGTCCTTGACTTAGCCAATAGCCAGCGCACGATGTTGCAGAACTCTGTATGCTTGGAATTTGGGGTGGACATATGGGAGTTTGAAAAAGGAACTTATATAGCCTTATTATAGGAATAAGAGCAGATTACTTTAAAAAAATACCTAAAAGCAAAATCTATTGGGGCTTGTTTTAAAAATGAAATCAGATAAAACCATAGGTTCAGTCTATAATACTAGTATTTCTCACAAATATTTCCTCCATACCCAGATGATTTCTAGGACAAACCAGGAGTTTCTTTCTGTTTTTTAAAGGTTTTACTTATTTTCAGAGAGAGAAGGGAGGGAGAAGGAGAGGGAGAGAAACATCGATTGGTTGCCTCTTTACCACCAACTGGGGACTTGGCCCACAACCCAGGCTTGTGCTCTGACATGGAATCAAACAGATGACCTTTTGGTTTGCAGGCTGACACTCAATCCAGTGAGCCACACCAGCCAGGGCAGAGGGTGCTTTTAAAATTTTTTAGATAACTGTCTTACAGTGGCTCCAGGGTTGGTTCTGAGCACTGCATCATTGATTCAGGCTAGCCCTCAAAGCCTCAACCCCTTCTCTGCCCTGGTCTAAGTAGCAAAAGTGCTGAGAACATCCCAGACTCAGAGAGTTCTGTCCACTATTAAGTGGGCTCTGGAACCCCAAGCTGACCATGAGAACCTCAGCTATCTTTTAACTGGAGGGGAATGACAGGAGGAGAACATGGAATCAAACTAAAACTAAGACTGCTGGAATTTCAATCAGTTTTTGGAACATTGAGAACAGTTTAATTCCCATAGAGAGCTTGAGAGGAATGATGTTAAGCAGCTTTTTTCATCTACCTGGACAGCTGGGATAAGAAGATTTGAATTCCATAAAAGATTTTTTCAGCATTCACTTGAGTCACTCCACTAAGTGCTTACTGAGCACTTTGTTTCCCCTCGCATGTGTATTGGATCAAGGCAGCCTATTAACTTTTCTCTTGCAGGCTTTCCCTCTAGAGTTTAGAGTCGATCATTTGCTGAAGTTCTTACTTTCTATGGGTTCTGTCTCATATAGAGTCTTTGAAGTGCCCTCAAAGAGGAAACTTTTTAAAATTATATTTATTACTTATGCTATTACAGTTGTCCCAGTTTTTTCCCCTTTGTCCCCCTCTACCCTGCCCCCTCACTCCTACAGGCAATCCTCATGCCATTGTCCATGTCCATGGGTCATGCATATATCTTCTTTGTCTATTCCCTATGCTGTAGTTGACATCCCCATGGCTATGCTGTAACTAACAATTTGTGTTTCTTCAACCCTTCACCTTTTTTCCCACCCCCCTACTCCTCTCTGGCAACCGTCAAAACAGTTCTCTGTATCTATGCTCCTGTTTCTGTTCTGTGTATTTGTTTATTTTGTCTTTTAGATTCAATTGTTGGTAGATACGTATTTATTGCCAGTTTATTGTTCGTATTTTCAATTTTCTTCAAGAAGACTCTGACATTTCATATCATACTGGCTAGTGATGATGAACTTCTTTAGCTTTTTCTTGTCTGGGAAGCTCTTTATTTGTCCTTTGATTCCAAATGATAGTTTTGCTGGATAGAATAATCTGGTTGTAGGTCCTTGCTTTTTATTGCTTTCAACATTTCTTGCCAACTCATTCTGGCCTGCAGTTTTGAGAAATCAGCTCAGTCTTATGGGAGTTCCCTGGTAGGCAACTAACTTATTTTCTCTTTCTGCTTTTAAGATTCTCTCTCTGTCTTTAACCTTTGGCATTTTAATTAGGATGTGTCTTGGAGTGGGCCTCTTTACAACCATCTTATTTGGGACTCTCTGTGCTTCTTGGACTTGCATGTTTATTTATTTACCAAGTTAGGGAAGTTTTCTGTCTTTTTTTCCCCCTAAATAATTTTTCAATTTCTTGCTTTCTTTTTTCTCTTTCCAGTGCATTCATGATGTGAATGATGGTTCGTTTGAAGTTGTCCCAGAGGCTCCTTACACTATCCTCCTTTTTTGGGATTCTGTTTTCTTGCTATTCTGATTGGTTGTTTTCTTACTTCCTTATAGTCCAAATCACTGATTTGATTCTCATCTTCATCCACTCTACTGTTGATTCCCTATAAATTATTCTTTAAAAAATTATTTTAAGTATATTTTATTGAGTATGCTGATATAGTTTTCCCATTTTTTCTCCCCTTTATTCTCACACTGTCCTGTACCCTGCCCCCCATCCTCCAGCATTCCCCACCTATTAGTTCATGTGCATGGGTTGTACATATAAATTCTTTGGCTCCTTCATTTCCTATACTATTCTTAACTTCTCTCCATCTATTTTATTCCTACCAATTATGTATCTTATTCCTTGTACCTTTCCCTCCTCATTCTTCTTCTCCCCCATCCCCACTAAAAACCCTTCATGTGATCTCCATTTCTCTGGTTCTCTTTCTGTTCTGGTTGTTTGCTTAGTTTTTGTTTTTGTTTTTTAGTTTTAGTTGTTGATAGTTATGAGTTTGTTGTCATCTTACTGTTCATAGTTTTTGATCATCTTCTATTTCTTAGATAAGTCCTTCTAACATTTCATATAATAAGGGCTTGGTGATGATGAATTCCTTTAACTTTACCTTATCTGGGAAACACTTTATATGCCCTTTGATTCTAAATGATAGCTTTGCTGGATAGAGTAATCTTGGATGTCTGTCCTTGCCTTTCATGACTTCAAATCATTCTTTCTAGTCCCTTCTTGCCTGTAAGGTTTATTTTGAGAAATCGGCTGATAGTCTATGGACAGTCCTTTGTAGGTAACTGTCTTCTTTTCTCTTGCTGCTTTTAAGATTCTTTTCTTATCCTTAATCTTGGGGAACTTGATGATGATGTGCCTTGGTGTGTTCCTCTTCGGGTCCAATTTTTTTTTGGATTCTCTGGACTTCCTGGAAGTCTATTTCCTTTGCCAGATTGGGGAAGTTTTATTCATCATTTTTTTCAAATAATTTTTCAATTTCTTGCTCTTGTTCTTCTCCTTCTGGCACTTCTGTGATTCGGATGTTAAAGTGCTTAAAGTTGTCCCATAGGTTCCTAAGACTCTCCTCATTTTTTTGAATTCTTATTTCTTCATTCTATTCTGGTTGAATGTTTATTTATTCTTTCTGCTCTAAACTGTTGATTTGAGTCCTGGTTTTCTTCCCTTCATGGTTGGTTCCCTATATATTTTGCTTTATTTCACTTTGGATAGCCTTCATTTTGCAACAGAGCTCAATAATTTCTGTGAGCATCGTCATTACCAGTGTTTTGAACTCTGCATCCAATAGATTGCTTGTCTTCATTTTGTTTAGTTCTTTTTCTGGAGTTTTTATCTGTTTTTTCATTTGGGCCATATTTCTTTGTCTCCTCATTTTGGCAGCTTCCCTGTGTTTGTTTCTATCTATTAGGTGGAGCTGCTGTGTCTCACAGGCTTGGTAAAGTGGCCTAATGTAGTAGGTGTCCTCTAGGGTCCAGTGGCACAGCCTCCTTAGGGCACTCAAGGTTCACCCACTGTGTAGGCTGTGTACATCTCCCGTTGTAGTTGAGCCTTGATTGCTATTGACACATCCAGGCTAAGAAGATACATACTGTGTTCTGTCCAGAGTCACACAGCCAAAGCTACAAAGTAGTCTGCAGATGATTGCTGCTAGTGCTGGGTCTGAGGCAGGCTAGCAAGTGGCACAGGGCTTGCTTAAGCTAGATATTCCTTGTTTGAGAAAATTTGGAAGAATATGAAGCATGGGCCAAGACAAGCCATTTATATGGAAAAACCACTGGAAACAGGTTGGATGGGTCCAAAAGTTGGGTGGGACAGGGCCTCTGGGAATCACCAGGGTGGGGCAACCAGTATGAGCCAGGTTGATGGAGTCTCAGATATGCTGCCCACCTGCTGGATTTGTAACTCTGTGGGGCAGGAGCAGAAAAGGAAAAATAGCCTATGCTAGCACTTTTGTCTGTGAGAAAGCTGCCTCCCCCAGCTCTGACCCTGATGCCAGACAATTCAGTTCCTCCCCATATATCTCTGGTGCCTTCCAATCTGCTGCTTCTATGCTGGAACTCAGAGGGAGTGAGTCCAAGTAAGTCTGTGCATGGCTCTTTAAGAGGAACTGTCTGAGACTAAGAAGTTTCTGTCATCCACCACCTCAATCCCTGCTGGTTTTTACAGCCAAAAGTTATGGGGACTTCTCTTTTTGGTACTGGAGGCCCTGGGCTGTGGTCCTGGTGTGGAGCTGAGACTCCTCACTCTTTGGATGTTCCTCCTGATTTAAAAAAAAAAAAAGATTTTGTTAATTCATTTTTAGAGAGAGGGAAAGGGAAGGAGAAAGAAAGGGAAATATCAATG